CATCGTCTCGCGATCTCGGTCTGACGCTTCTTCCTTCGGAATACCGAATTTTGTCTGTTCCGCGCTTGTCTGTATCGCTCCACATTCAATCTCGTGCGGATAGTCTCCCGAAAGTATCCCATGTTCCACGTATTCCGTTATCTTTCAATGATGATCTTGAGTTTCTAGTTGCGTCTTATAAACTGTAACACCAGCGCGGAAAATAGACAGTGGCCATCTCCATGGTATTGTCTTAACGAGCATCACTCCATTGTCGTATCGCATGTGCTCCATTTTGCTGCTCTCCTTTTACTTTTTTTTGTTGACTCCATGGTACCTCAAGTAACAATTCAGCCACCATTTGGCATCCACTCTGGTTTAAATACAGCATTTCGAAGTGTAAAACATTCCTGCTTAATAATTCAGCTTTTTGCTATTTTAAAAACCTTTTATAGTCTGGCACGAAAGTAAAAAACTGTATTGTTTTCAAAATAAATTTGAAGCAGCTCTCAATCCCTCCATAAAACTGTTCTGTAATTCAATGATAAACTTCATTGGCAACTGTTTATAAATGTCTTGCTTAAATACTCTTTAAACGAGTTCTATCATTTTAAAAGCAACCTTGAAGCTACTAGGTTTTAAATAAGATCGGAAAGCATATATTGTTGCTTTTTAGGCCTTTTGAAATTACTCTGTTTACAAATTGAAGTTTAAAGTTGGATCCTCATAGTGAATAAAAGCAAAATTTATGACATCTGGTGGAGAATAGTAAAGTGAGCGTGATCCTTGAATTAACATATTGTCGAAACAGCCTTCTCCAGATCTTGCGTAAGACTGTGAACAGCAAAATTTAAGGAAATTAATTGGGCTTTTTGTTAAAAATACTTTCAAGATTCAACACTCATGAATAACATCTCAAAAGAGCGAAAAATGCTCAAATTATGCGACAAGTGAATTTTAACCTACGAGTATCTCGAAAATAACAACTTTGGGCAATTTAAGCATTATTAGCTTTTTTGTTGTAAATTTAATGTGTTTTAATATTAACACTATTTAAAAGATATTCGATAACTATTGGTAGTATTTTGGAAAATACTTATTTTTCAATAATTCATAACTTTTTTGTTTATTATTTGCCCAGCAAATACACAGTGTCAATAGGTATTTCTTTACCTAAGCTACAACATAAATATAAAAATATATATTTTAAAAAGATATGCAATTTGAGTAAACATCTCAAAAAGGCGAAAATTTCTTAAAATACGCGATAAGTGAATTTTAACCTACGAGTATCTCGAAAATAACAACTTTGGGAAATTTAAGCAGTATGAGCTTTTTTGTTGTAAATTTGATGTGTTTTAATATTAACACTAACGGCGCCGGTGGTGTAGTGGTAAGCGTGATTACCTCTCACCCCAGCAGGCCTGGGTTCAATCCCAGTCGGCGCCGCCGGGATGTTCTGAGGCATAACATCTCTGATCACGCCTTCCTTCGGATGGGAAGTAAAGCCGTTGGTCCCCGGTTCATGAGTTGATGGGTCGATAGGTAGGGTCCAGGTGTAGGAGCTGCCTTCCTGGCACGTCGGTAGCATTGGTGCTCAGCACGGAAAACAAGATCGACGGAAAAAACAAACCAAAGGAAAAAAAAATATTAACACTATTTTAAAGATATTCAATAACTGTAGGTGGTATTTTGGAAAATACTTATTTTTTCAATAATTCATAACTTTTTTGTTTATGATTTGCCCAGCAAATGCACAGTGTCAGTAGGTATTACTTATAAAAATAATATATAAAAAATAATTAAAAAAATGCAATTTGAGTATTTTTTTTTTTGATAATTTAGATTTTTTTTGTTAAATTTTTTTTTATAGTGTATATTTTTTCTTGAAAGGCACAATACTTGTCCACAACTTCTTCGAAGATACCATCTCAATCAAACAAATCGTTCGCAAGATATATGTTTTCTATTGATGCGTATCATTTTTGCATAAGCCCTTTTCAAGTGTTAGTCGTGTACAAAACTAGGGAACCAAATATGTAAAATTGCATGTTGGACAGTAACAAACAACTGTGCAAAGTTTCAACATAATCGTAGAAGGTCGATCAAAAAAATTATAAAAAAAACGTCATTTGAAATGGAACTGCTGATAGCACCTAAAACTAGGCCACTTTATGAGAACTATTTTATTGATTTTGGAAATTAATCAAGATTTTTATACGATCAGTTTTTATTTTTATTATTTTGATCAGATCGGATGGTATTTATGAATCGTTGTCTATCTTGGTTGATGCTTTTCTAGTGGATTTAGCAAGCGGCTAGGGAAGATGACTTGAAAAAGGTTTCATGGTTGCCAAATCACTTTTATTGTAGTTTAAATATGGTTTTCAAATGGGACTCAATGCGTTCATCATTACATTTGTTGTATGAAATATATGCAGATTATGTAATAAATCCAACCTTACCTTTACCTGAACAAAAAGTTTGGTTTTCCCATAGTAATTTCCATATAAACTTCGAATAGTTTGTGCCAAGTCAGTTTATTTGGGAGGCTAATCAGGACCTGATTTGAAACCGTTTGAGCACTGTGGAGCAAAAATTTAAAATTTTGCATCAGTCTAGTGTACACTCTGTACACCTGTGTACATGTCGAGGCCCAAGTCTGAAAGGAATTTCTAACGTATGACACGCTTCATCTCACCGTATTTCCTCAGCACCAACGCTAGATAGCTATCCAGGACCCCTGATGGAAGATAGTACACTCTCACGTATTGAACGTTGTCCCCCTGCATGCTATATGCATACTTCGACTGCCTTTCTATCTGCAACACATTATTTGTTCACGGTTATGCAACAAGGCATAAAGCATCGCTTCCTCTCATTTGAACTTTATGAACATAACATTGATTTCTACTGCGCAATCCGATATATCAAGAGCAAATTTTCATTACGTCGAATGTAACAAAGGTAAACAAAGTCGAGCTATCAGTGTCAATCGATTCTCCTGCTATTACACAATATACTGTCCGAATATAGGATCAAATCCCATTTTCAAATTTATTTACCAGTCAAATTGCTTTTTGACGTAATCACCTTCCGATCAAAATAGTTTTCGATGTTACTTAAGTCACCCAATTTCTATGGAGATGCCGTTTGACTTAAGTAACAGCGCTGAGAAACCCGTGAAAAGTGTACGTTCGTCGTTTCGCTTTCTCTTTATTAAAGTGAATAAATCGAACTGTTTGTTGCTAAGATGATTTCGGTGGTCCTAAAATGATGAATGGGCTGCACGTAAGGAGACGTAATTGATAATTCTCCCGAATATCCTGGTAAATACACTTTGACTTAAGTAACAATAGGGGCCACCAAACGACGTATAATAACTTTTGACTCAAAAACCAGTATTTTTTAGCATGAAAGCTAGCGATTTGCATTTGTATGATTAAAACCCTGCTAAATATGTTAAACATTGCTATCACTATGAGATTATATGTGTTTACTTGGAAATAGGAATAACTTTTCGGTCATTAAAACAAAACTTTATTTTTCTCGGATTATTGCGAATGTTACTTACGACATAATGAAAATTTGCTCTTGATATATCAACCAACTGAACAGGATCCGACCCCAATGCTTTCATGAAATTGGAAATTTCACTGATGGTGGGTTTCACACTTCCATTTGTGAAGCTGAATTTGAAATTTAAAACACAGCTGCTTCTATCGATAGTTAGAGCGCACTGAACCATGGGCACTTGAAAATTGACAAAAATCATAGAATAATAGCTTTTGGTAAAATGTTTGAACTTTTTGTTAGAACGTATTGTAATTTTTGCATTAAATGTATTTTTAATTTTTTTTAATTTTTTAATCGTTTTCTGTGCAAAAATTACAAAAAATATTGTAATTGTAAAATTCATAAAAAAAAATCAAAAATATTGAATAAAGACATTTTTTGTTATTTAATTTTTTATAACTTTTTTGATTTTTTTTTCCCTAAATACTTACTTAAATAAAACCATATTTATTTTTTTCTACAACTTTGTCTCAAACGTCATTTCGATTAGAAGTGACATTTACGTGCTACGATTTATTAAAAAATGTTTGAAAACTCAAGATTTATAAAATTGTAAGATTCAATATGGCCGACTTTTAGCAGAAATTTGAATGCCCATAACAAACTTTCATGCACAGGGTTGGTAGTAGGTCACTGTTTAGTGGCTAGGTCACTATTTTCAAGTCACTTTTTTGACCACAACGTTACAAAAGATCTCAACACAACTAATAACCTTATGGCTAAAAGGGTAAACAAAATGATTCAGCTAACTTTTTCCTATAAAATTTCATTGCAAATTCAGCTTCAATTAGTGTAAATGTATAATTATCCTTTATGTGAAAATTACAATAAGCAAAAAAAAAATGCTTCTAAAATTGAAATAATGTCTGTAATAACATTGATTCATCGCCTACTGATGCTAGAAGCCATCCAGATGTTGGAACCAATCCCTTCTGAAAAGGGTGTCTCTACATCTGCCTTTCCGGAAATTTCCCACCGTAGGATCACGGTATCCCGCTCAATGGGGCGGACAAAATTGGGCTGCTAAAATATCACCATTTCGGTCAATTTATTCTAATTAGTTTGTTTAGCTACCACCCCATTTGGGTTCCCGTTTCTTCTCAATCACAATGAAGTACAAGTCGACAACGATGATGGTAGCTAATTAAATTCCTAATGAAATTTCGCTGCACGGGAATTTGAATCCCAAAGGGGTTTTGGAGTATGAATCGCTTTTGAAGTTGCTGATGAAAGATGCCGTCACATGCTGCTACTGTGATAGCCCGTCGCAAACAGGTCACGAAAATTGCAATTTTCTCGTGAGGCAAAAGGCTTCTCAACGGGTGCAGGGAAGTGTAGTTTTGATTAGTTTTCCTCTGCTTTCTCTTCTTTGACCAAGGAAAATCGTTGACGAACGTCATCACATGTGGTATCTTTTCATATATGTGTTTTTTTTTTCTCCACAGATCTTCCCCCAGCAGGAAACGGACCGACCGCTGACCCGGCTTCAGGAACGGCTGATCCGCAAGCTCGGACCAAACGCCTACCCGTTCTACTTCGAAGTGCCGCCACACTGTCCCGCCTCGGTGTCCCTGCAGCCGGCCCCGGGCGACACCGGCAAACCATGCGGCGTCGATTACGAGCTGAAGGCCTTCGTCGGCGAAACGCCTGAGGACAAACCGCACAAGCGGAACTCGGTGCGGTTAGCAATTAGAAAAATTATGTACGCCCCCTCGAAGCTGGGCGAACAACCATCGATCGAGGTCAGCAAGGAGTACATACTGAAACCAAATAAGATCCACCTGGAGGCGAGTCTGGATAAGGAGGTAAGTGGCCGCAGTAAAAATGGCTTCCTCAGAAAGCTCTAATGGTATTTTTTTTTTGTGTATCTCCCTACAACAGCTTTATCACCACGGCGAAAGTTTATCGGTGAATGTACATATAGCGAATAATTCGAGTAAAACGGTTAAGAAAATCAAAGTGTCGGTGCGGCAGTTTGCCGACATTTGTCTCTTCTCGACGGCGCAGTACAAGTGCACCGTGGCGGAAGTCGAGTCAGAGTGAGTACATTTTTTTTTTTCCTCTGCTCAAAACTAAGATGACCATGAAGAGTTTATGTTCCTTGCCTACCTGAGCTACACAGGAATGGAAGCATTCGGGAATAATGAGGATGGTACAGAAAGAATGGCGGTTATGCTAATTGTGGACGAAGATTCAAAGAAAATCGAAATGGAATCCTGTCGTTGATTTTGATACATTGGCGGGCATGGCGATAATATGTTTTCTCTAGACATATTTTCGTTACGCCTCAGATCACTATTTTAACATAATTTATCGCTTCTTCAAGCTAAGAAACGGTTTTAATCGGATTGGATTGATGCAATAACCACATTCGCACGTGCAAAATGTATACATTTTAAGAATAACTCTTGAAAATTTCAATTATGCCACTTCCTATTGATTTTGGATCGATTCAGCACGAGGTTGGAAAAGGCTTGAGCAGGAATGGATCGCTCTTTTGGGACTTTTTCATTATTTTTTAATATTGAATGCTTCCGTTAAATCCAATTGAATTTTCAGATAACACATCTTAAAATAGATAGTTTATTTTTTTTTTATATTAATTTATTTGTACTAATAGATAGTTTAGTGCTATCAATCCCCCTATCAAAATTGAAAATGTGCGTACCGCAGAGCTATACTCTGTGGTTTCATTAAAGGTGCACTTGAGAGCGCTCTCGAGTGTAGATTCAGTGAAAGCAAGGGTGTGGCTCTGCGGTTCGAAAATTTTGAATTTTGATAGGAAGATTAAAAGCATTAAACTATCTTTTTGACGATGGGTTAACTTAATATTCAACTTGGATTTTAAGTTAGCATTCTATAATAAAAAGAACTGAAACAGCCCCAAAAGAGCGATCCATCACTGTACGTGAGTATATTTTCAATTTACTTTCACTAAATGAAACATTTTACTGAAAACCAAAATGAAAAACGCTGAGCGTAATAACTTTCATGTAACTTTCACAAAAAATTTAATGTTATGTGATAGAATTATCAAAATATAGCCAGGTGGGCCAATTAAATTAATTTCCAGACCTATTCTTTGGAATGTCCAGGGATGTATTCAGTAACTCGTACAACCGACGTACAGTGGCGGGCCTCCATACAAAAGTCGGACAAAACCTAAAATATTTCAGAATCTGGCTGAAAATCAAATATAGGGGAAATGGATGTAATGTCGGCCTAAATGCCCCTAATTTGGGCCCATACATAAATTCAGCAATCGACTTAATTTTCAATAGCGACCAAATATATCCATTAGTACCGTCCCAATTACGCGTTCATCTAGATATAATAGATAAATAGCAGTTTTTTAGCGATGGGCCCAATATTATATCCATAGGCCAACATTAGACCAACATTAGAGCCATTTTCCCTATAGTAAATTTTGGGAAGCTGATTCCATTTTCGTTATGAAAGTCATAAAAAAATATGAATCAACCCCCTTAAAAGTGATTGTATCTTTCTGATACCAATAGACCCGTTGATTGATTATTTGTTAAGCTTTATTAATTCATAATATATTTCTGTTTCCTTAGGATTCTAAATTCATCATGCAAGACAGCATAAACCAGAGTGTCGACTACCTGAAAAAACCTGAAAAATCAGGGAATTTCAGGGAATTCCATTTTAGTCCTGGAACATCAGGGAATCGCAGGGAAACATTTGTTAATCCTCTCTAAAAAGTATTACTGATCTCGCTAGTCTCAGACAATTTAATTACTCGGTGTATCCTGATGAATGTGGGCGTATTATTGGAATGCCTGTATAAAGAGAGAAAGAGAGAGAGAGAGAGAGAGAGAGAAAGAGAGGGAGAAGGATTAGTAATTTCCATATAATTCCACTACCTTATACCTTATCCTTGACAGATACGCGCAGACGCATTGTAGACGAAATACACGTATATGTCAAGGATAAGCAAATAAGGTAGTGGAATTAAATCGAAATTACTAATCCTTTTCTATGTCTTTCTACTCTACTTTTTAGGATGTTTGTTTAGCAAATAAAATCTTCAAGAGAATTGCGATGAATTATTTGAATTGCTTAAAAAAGAACATAGTCTTCTCAAGCTATATATGTATTGTATAAAAATTACAGATGCATTACTGTAAGAACTGTCGAGATCCTATGAATTTACACGCTAGTGTTCGTGAGATTCTCCATGGCAAACTGAATTTTGATAAGTTTGGGCCGTCCCTGAGTTTAAGTGGGATCCAGAGGGGCGGTAAAAATTCATTAACATCTTTGAGTAGAGCTATACATTGTTGGTTGGACAAAATTCATGCTCCAAGTGGATTAGCGCGTTTCTGGGTGGCGCTGTGTTAAGTTCGGTCCAACAAAAATTTAACCTCTGAAAATGGGTTGGAGCGTCTTTGTGTAAATACAATAATGAGGTATCCCGCTGCGATCAAGCGTTTGGTTAAACGTGTAATCCCAAAAAAAAAGTTCAACGGAGACGAGATGGGCATTGAAGTGTGTACGGGGAATATATTTTATAACGGGGGATTAAAGACAAGTGTTTCATATGCGAAAATATCCCTTACGGAAAGTCCAGAAACACAAAAAAATAAGGGTGCGGAAATTTGACATGTCAACGAGAGGAAATAAGAGGATCATGAACTTGTTTAACACTTTCTGGCGATCAAGCTAGTGAAGAAAATGCATGTAGGAAGTGATTAAAATCCTCATATAGAAATTGAGAGAAGTGGTTATCCCGTTCAATTTTTTCCCGGAAATTATTGTTAAACAAGCTACAATTAATTAAAAATGATTTTTCCCCATACAGTTTTACCTGCTTTACTACCAGTTCCCAGAGAGCCAAAAAATTCAAATTTAAGAGAGAAAATTTGCTCTCACGACCTCAATCTCTCAACATGCCATGTATTTGGTTGACACTCGATTTGTGGTTTCCCTTTCACAGATTACAAAATAGAGTACCTGACACTACAAAACATGTCTGGTACCTCTATATATGCATTTGCTTTAACATTTGAAGTCTATCCTTTTTTACATATGCTGCGCAAAACATAAACATACATAAACATCGGCGAGAAATTCTGTGAGGGGTGAGCTATTTTGTGGGCAGAATGTGATAAAAAGGAGGGACTCCGAACATTAATCTAAATGCATATATAGAGGTACCAGACATGTTTTGCACTGCAGTGTCCTCTGTGAACAATTATAGGAAAACAGATTGTGTCTACTTTCCGATAGATGTCACCGCAAACAACAGCTGTGACATCTGATGGAACATGAATGCAGAAGCTTGACAAAATGATCAATTAAAGTATCATTCCGGTTACTGCTTTAACTGATTACCTGGCTCGTAACATGTCTTATTCCTGTAAATTTGGAAAAATAGATAATAACTAATAACTAATAACTAATCAGTTTTGTTGCGCTAAAACTTATACTAACCATTTCTGAGATGTTTTACTCGGGTATTCAGTATAACCAGGCAGAACTTATTTAAAAAGAAAACGGATTAAGGCAAGTTATTTTTATCGTTAGTTGCCGTCCATATACCAAGTGGCGAATATAAGATGGGCGATGTTCGAGTGAATATGATCCTTTACTGTTTAAAGATTTGTATTGAGATTTGTGTAATCCATTAAGCATGAAGCTGGAGATCAAATTGAAATCAAAATTTACTGTTATGATGTAACTTATTTTGAATACTCCAGTTGATATCATTTTGGTTGACTTAACGGTTAACACAGCAAAAATGAGAGCAAAATTTTACACTATTGAATCAAACGGAAAACTAATCGTGCTTTCAATTAAATCAATTTGATTTCTGATTTTGCATTCATAATGTTTAAATTAATACGGGCCTGGCGTAAATGTTTAGCATCCATGCTTTTTACGCTGCGAGACTTCAGCTCAAATCTCACCCCAGGCAAGTCACGAATGACCTAAAATGTGCTAAACAAAACAAATAAACAATAATCAATAGTTCAACGACAGACAAACTTAAATTAAATTATAAACAGCAAAAAATTTTTTTGATATCACATCAAAGTGGATGCAATACAATCATGTCGAAAATTTCATGTAATTTTTATGACCACATAAATAAACAAATGCAGTAAAAGCAGCGTAATGTCAGTTCATGCATTGTATTAATGATAATTTTGTCCTTTTTAGCAAGTAATTTTACACCATATTTTCGACATGATTGTAGTGCATCCACTTTGACGTGATATCAAAATAATTTTTTTGCTGTGTAAACAAGGCGTTAACAGCAGAACTTCAAGTTAAGTTGCTTTCATTTAAAAAGTCTTGACTGCAAAGTGAAAGCACAATATGATATCGGACTTCTGTCGCGCCAATTGAAATCATAATGAGTTTTCATTATGATAGAAACTGCAAACTTTAATTTCGATTTGCTTTCATTTTGTTAACCGACTTTGCTCGGGTAGAAAGGGTAAACATTCTTGCATCTTGACAGCAAACGTTTGGTTGCTGGGTACATTATCAAAGAGCTTTGGGGGTGATTTAACTGGCAGGAACGTCCAATGAAAATTATGTCTTAAACAACAATGACTTATGGTGGTTCTAAAAAGAACCATTTTGTGGTGATGGTTGAGTAATGCTGATCTATTAGGGCTCACGACGAGCAACTGAAATCGATCAGTAGTGGTGCGGCTTCTTCCTCCTTCTTCTTCGGTGAATCGAGGGCTCTTGAGGGCAGCCTTGATAGCTAGCTGATTGCGGGTATCCTTTCGTTGTGTACTGCAGAAAATTGTACAACTCCACGCGCCGACTGCACTGCCTCTGCTGCTGATTATGACGACCGGACACCACCACTCACTACATCGATTTTGAAATCTGTGTTAGGGAAAGTGTTTTTCGCAGGCAATCGATGATAATTTTAATGTCCATAGCAACAGTTGCACATTCGTGCAATTTTAATAGTAAACTTTTGAAAATTGATAAAGCCTTAATTTTAGCAGATTCGTAGAAAAGCTTCCTATCGATTGGCGTATTAAGAATTAAA